AACCTGCTGTACGCTATGCTTCCCAAGCACGTAGCAAATCAGCTGAAGGAAGGCAAACGAGTGGAGGCAGGTGAATGAAAAAAAGTTAGAGATGAGGGATGGGAAATATGAAGGAAAAGTGGAGGATTTTTTTTTTCAGAACACACATTCACCAATGAGTGGGGGAAAAAAACAATGGTCCTAGAGCAGAGCCTTGTGCCACACCAAACATTACTTTATATAGTAATGTTGACATAGAGTCTGTTTTTTCTTGTTGCATCATAATCCTTCAGGCACTATTATTCTTAGAAGAACAATATAAGAAAACTTTGCAGAGTAAAAAGGGTCAGAATGGAGGAATTGTTCAATTCTAGGTCTATCTCAATATCTGTAGCTATTCTAGATCATAGTGGGCATCTTAATTGTTTTTAGTTCTAGTTTCTGTATTTTATTTTTGTTCTTCAGGTGAGTTTAAGGAGTGCACCATCCTCTTCAGTGATGTGGTAACCTTCACCAACATTTGCTCACAGTGTGAGCCTATACAGATCGTCAACATGCTCAACTCCATGTACCTGAAATTCGATCGTCTCACCACTGTTCACAATGTGTACAAGGTAAACCTTGGCTACAATCATATTTTCTATATATAAAGTATTTATATAATTATTTTCTTAAAGCACTTTTACCTCTTAGAATTTACCACTCAAGACTGCACAGAGGTTATGTTATTGTGTTACAGTGGCATATTATTGATATGCCACTAAATATACAGTATGTGAGAGGTTCTACACCAATATATTACCCAAAAAGTATATATAAAAAAAGAAACTGGAGTCATGCATGTGTGAAACTAGTTTACATTTTTGTGTTGATGCCATTTCCACTGAAACAGGAAGTCAGGGTGGGACATATTGAGTGGCTCCTCCCCCTTGTAAAATACCCAGTAGCGTTTAGTTCACCTCACAGCCTGAGCTAAGCTGTACTTGACAGTTAGAACCAGGGATTTTTTTTAAATGTTGGGGGGCGGGACAGATTCTAGAGTGCATTTGATTGGACAGAAGAAGTGCTGAATGATATCATCAAAATTGTTGACTGTATTGGTGGTAGAGAGAGACAGTAAATTTTGAATGCATATATCAGTCCCTCCAGGATTTTGCAATTTTGCGATCACAGAAATTAATGCAAAATCAAGGAAATGGCGCAATGTATTCAGGAGCTTGCAATTTTTCAAGATTACCACAGATTTTCTGCAGATTTGGGCCAAAACACATCATGTGACATCATCACAATGTGCATTCAGCCAAAGCCCTCTTCCATTCACGTGCGGTGAACATGACCACAGCTAAAATTTCTTATTTACCAAAAAACATCACCATGAAAGACCGTACAAAACATTTTCATACAGTTACAATTTTACCAATTCAAGTAGTTTTCTGCAAAAAAAGCACCAAAAAAAAACCTCAGCAAATTACTTTAAAATTTTTAAAAAAGCTGCAGCAATATCGAGCATTTTTGGCATCACAAAAAACCTCTGTGAAATCCTGTACAGACTGATATATCTTCCAAATGCAAATTTTGTCATTGTTTTGGAACATACTAGCTCATAGATAACCTTAAGGCTAACATATTTATACTAAAAGCCACAAAACTTCCATTTTGATTTCATGGTGACTTTAATGTAACAAATGGACTCTTATATAGACTCAGTGATTTAACTCTTGATGTTGATCTTATAGGTTGAAACAATAGGTGATGCCTACATGGTGGTGGGTGGTGTCCCAATCCCAGTATCCAGTCATGCTGAGCGAGTAGCTAACTTTGCCCTAGGTATGATCATTGCTGCCAAAGAGGTCACCAACCCTATCACAGGAGGCCCTATTCAGGTGAGAGTACAAGCAGTAACTATTTCTTTCCTAAACTACTATCTTACTTCCCAGACAACTAATTTAATGATTTTGAAACTAGCAAAATTAAGAATCATTTTATTATGAGCGTTTTATAATTTAATAGAGTTTATTATATGCTGCAAAGGTTGTGTTTTTTTGGCATTGATTATTGATTAGACTGAAGTTCTTCTATCTGACATTGGCTACGATCGTACTGAAATGTGAGAAGAGTATGATCGGGTTCTAAGAGCTTGAGTTCTTGGATCTGCATTGTCTCTTTGCGACGCCAGATTCGGGTGGGCTTGCACAGTGGTCCGGTGCTAGCGGGTGTTGTTGGAGAGAAGATGCCACGTTATTGCTTGTTTGGAGACACTGTAAATACGGCTTCTCGCATGGAGAGTCACGGCCTGCCCAACAAAATCCATCTCAGCCCCAGCGTATATCAGTGAGTTTTTGTTTTTAATGTGGCATGTTTTTTTTTTTTACCTAGATAATGCTAGCAACAACAACAACAATAATAGCTAGAAGTCTTTATTCATATAAAGCTTTTCAGTTGTAATAAGTTGCAATGCTCCTTGATAACTGGCCATATAGCTTTCATCCATTGTTACCAAGTTATAAGGGTTGAGAGTGAGCCATTAATTACCAAATATAGTCCTTAACACTTAACACAATCTATTGCAATCTTTCTTCAGTCTTTTGAACGTCTGACTTGTTTCCAGTGCTCTTCGGAACAAGGAATTCCAGCTAGAGGAACGTGGAGAGATTGAGGTGAAGGGGAAAGGCAGGATGCAAACTTATTTTCTTCTAAAAAACCTCAAAGCTACAGAGAATGATATTGTAGGCTGCCAGATGAGGGAAGCTGGCTCAGGACAAGAGTCTGTTGAGTCCAACGAAGACTTCAGCTCTGAGCCTTCTTCTTTTAGACCATCTCTAGGTATGCCAGGCTTCTATTACTTTGATTAATCAGTTTTTGAAAAAAGAATTTACTTTATTTCATGACTATCATCGAAGGCAGCTAGTTAACTGGGTAAATTCAAAGGTGCCAACAGTTGTAGTTTACCTGCAGCATTTATGGCAATACAGGAGACACCTGAAAAGTACACATCACCGCTTTTTTTTATTCTTTTTTTTTTAGCTAAAGCGATTTAATGATGCAGAAATGATGCGAAGAAATTAATTGGTTAGCAGTTACTTACAATTCATGCTGACTTTAACCTGCGAATTCATGAACCTTGGCATTATGATACAATAGACATCAAGTAGGTGGGACCATGCTTTCTTTGGTCAGTAAAAAAAATGGAGATTTTTAACTAGCTTTCACGCTTTTTCTTACAGTGGCTTAATGCACAGCTGAAAGAAATTGCTGTCTTGTCTACCATCATACTATCATTCTTTGTAGTAAATCGCTAGGATGTTCTTATCAGCAAGAATTGGTTAGCCCTTCTGTATTTTGTTTTAATTTGAGATAATTTACTAATTGTTCTTTAATATATGTTATATAAAGTCTCCGTATTCTCCGTATAAATTCTCATTATTTCTTATTAATCTGGTGTTAGCAAAAAGTTAGCTTATTCAAATTCCTTACTGACACAAGCCTAGTGAAGCCCACGTTGTTTAATCCTTCATCACAGGTAAATTAAGCTAGATTTGATTTTCTCTCTACATTTTCAAAAAGCATTTCAGAACAAGGAAAGACGCCACACTGTGGCCATGAGATACAGTGACAACAAGCCTCCATCTCTGTTTCCTGAAGCCCTGGCCAGCACTAAATGTCTAACAGGTAATATAATTTATTTCCGTATATTAGAACATTCTTTTTTATTACTGGCATGCATTTACGATGTTCATGCTTTTTTTCTGAAATGCATTTTGGCAAAACGTTTCTATGAAAATATACTGTAGCTTATAACGTCTCAGTGATAAAGACTCAGCGGTCAAGAAACGATATGTAAGGAATAAAAACTGTGGGACATGCTGTGATGGGAAAGTAATCATCGTTGAGGTGGTGTAATGCGACATGAAGTATTTACTACCCTAAAGCTGTTTATTTTTCAATAACAGTATGTCTTGATATGTTTTATTCCTCTTATACCACACAATTTGTCAGCAGTTACATTTGATTTATTACTTAAAGAATGGCATGGGATTTTAAAAAATCAGTTTTAAGTTACATTTAATGTAAAGTGAAGCAAGTTAGTATTCGTTATCACTTTTGTGTTATAGCAACTGTAAACAGTTGTTCCCTCACTAACTGCTTTTTTTTTCTTTCTGTTGACAAAAAACACAGCTTGTCATGTTAAAAGCGAGTCTGTCCTGAACACTCATTACAAGTAGGCATTACAAAGTGCTAACACTGAAGATTTCTTGCAAAAATATTAAATAAAGTTACAGAATGCTTATCCACAACTGCTATATATAATGAACACACTGTATGTTCAATAACAGCATGTTTTTAATATGTTTATTATTAGGCTTAGATTATGTGGAAAGAAATAATGTAAACTTCCTAATGTGTACTTGTGCATTTGAATTCACAAACAGGTAACTCAAATTACGGAAGTCTTCACAGTGGAAGCAGGTCTGAAGACGAGCCGTTCGAGGTGAACGAGGGCGCCGTACGCCCAGGTCCCGACGGAGCTGAACCTCCTCCACCTGCTCCAAACAAAAGGCACGTTTGTAGCAGGTTCTGTGTGGTGACCTAAAATGCACAGTGAGCCCAGGTAGATACGGTAATAGCTTTAGTCCTGTCTAAAAGATGCTTCTATGTGTAGTGGTGTGTACACCATCTCTGAAGTCTTGGTGGATACATGCATATGCATGCATATATATATATTATATTATATTATATTATATTATTTTATTTTATTTTATTTATTTATTTATTTATTTATACCATGGTCTGTCTGAATACCTGATTCTGGCTGGCTGGAAGATGTAGTCGTGTAGTAAATCTGCTGTTTAAAAATTCTAAAATTAGAGGCATTTTATAGTATGTATAGAGGATTTTATATCAAATTTTATTAGTTTGCCTTTGTTTAATTTTGAACAATAACATAGGACAATTTAATACGTTAATAAACGTTAATAAATATGACCCATCCTGAAGTATTTACTGTCTTTATTTATTTTTTCACCCAGCTAGCTCAATTAGTAGAGCATGAGACTCTTAATCTCAGGGTCGTGGGTTTGAGCCCCACGTTGCGTGCTAAACCCAGCCACAGGGTGGTTGCACAAGTTAATGTACTCACAGTGCCAGTCCCAATCATAAACCGGATTTTCATAATGGAGACGGATGATCCGCTGTGGCAATCCCTAACCAGAACAGCCAGATGAAGAAGGTTTATTTATTTATTTTATTTAACAGTTTTGTCTACAATAGAGCACTTACAATTATATCGGTTATACGGACATAATAAAATAGTACATGAACATCCCAAATACGTTAGATGTACAGTTGTGTGATTACAGGCAACTCTGATTATATTTGTAAGAACAGAAGGAAGAGCAGATACAATAGAATGATCATAATTTACAAAACAATTTCTCTGAAATTAAATAATTTAGTTTAGAGTAAACATAATAACAAGAATTCACCTGATTTACATCAACTGTTCACTTTAAAAGAAAAAAAAAATTCTTCCCTTTCTCTAATACACTGATGTTACACACTGTGTCACGGCAACACACGCTTCGTAATTTAAAATTCAACCCCACATGGAAGTATATAATTTATTATAATTCATTCTGATGTTACCCACATTTATGATCGAAACAAAACACATCCTTCAGAATATGAGACGTTTTACAACTGTATACTTGGTCAGTGCTAAATATCCAGTGATCATTTGTAGTATTTTTTTAAGCTTTGGAAGTAGCCAGTCAGTCCTACAGTCTCAGTGCTGAATGTCTCCACTCTCTATGTAACTGCATCAGATCAGGTACAATCACAGCTTCCATACCATATGTAGTACACTTTATGTTCAAGTGAATCTTGCCATTTGCATGAAGCCACGTTGTGATGTGACACCTGATTGGTCCACGCAGTGAGAAGCCACACGCAGAATGAGTTCACGAAACCGAATCTGTAACTGGACTCAATCTGGAGGAGGTCAAGTGTAGAAATCAAACGTCGCTGTGACCTGAAAAATGCAGCAGTGTAGGGTGATAAAGCTGCTCTGGATTAAACGTGAGACCGTATCGTTTGTCCTTTTTGTTTGTTCCTTCCTCACGAATCTGTTTCTGATATCACCTGGAGATCGCATGAGCTTGTGTCGCTCAGGTGGTCTGCCATAAACGGCCGGTTGGTGTAGATGTCATCCACAGGCAGCAGGAATGTGACCGTCTTCTCTTTAGCTCTGAAACATAAACAAAACTGGATGTTTCAGCCCAAACGGGGTTCAAGTAACCTAAACCTTGTTAAAAAATATTTTTATTAGCTAATAAATTAGGCACGTATTCTGAATATCTACTAAATAAGTAACCTACACATGCTCAAACCCTACACATTCCACCCGTTCCCCTGGTGAACTGTTTTGAACTGAATTTGCATATTGGAACTCCATTAGCTGAGATATTGAGTAATGCAATAACGCCAAACTGTCATGTGATCAAAACTGTAGACTGGTGTTTCTTAAAAGGTGACAATACTTCACCCAGCCTGATGTTATTGCGTCATTCAATATATCAGCCAATCACGTTCCAGTATGCAAATGTGGACCGTTCAACAACAATTCAACAACAGACGGGAAAGGGGTGGATGTGCAGAGAAGTAAAAGACTATTTTAAAAATAAAGTTTAGTGTTACATTTGATCAAATTTAGGCTTTTTGACAGTGACTTTACTAAATTGTATTTAAAACATGACAAGTAGCTACAGTCTATGAAGTAGCCATCTGTCACACCTGGCTTTGTTGACGCAGTGCTGAAGCGTGCGCCGGGTTACGGGTTTGTCGTCGGTTTTGTCTCTGTCCTCTGTAGCCGTATGGCCGAGTCCATGCACTCCTTCTCGCAGTCTGGCCCAGTCGCCATCGCTCCGATGTTTATGCGAGCTCACACTCTTACAGGGCATGTGAATTGCGTTTGAAGATATGGAATACCTCCGGACGGTCATGATCGTGTTTTCTGTTGGAGAACAGGACAGCATTTTGCATGACATTTTAAACCATATAAACAACATTTATTCATCAACGGTCAGATCATATTTATAGTTATTATATCTAGAAATAATTATTACATTATTTTACTTTTGCATTGCCTCCAACAAAGGTCAATTACTTATTTTTTATACCACAGTGCTTTAGAATACTCTATTCTGATTGGGCAGAAGGTGTTGGTTAAATTTCAACACACAGCACACCATGGACTGTAGTGCTTCTGGCAAATCGTGGGTTTATGTAAACATATACAGGTACAGTCTTTACATGCTTGATCCCATCATCGTTAACTGCATGAAACCATCTGAAGATGTACAGTCCATCTCTCTTTTATGGCTACATGAAGATGGTAAAGTGCCATGTTGTCTCAAGCAATCAGAAGTATCAACCTGTGTTATTATGCATTTACTTGCTTCAGGAATTAACCTTCTCAATAGGTCATCTAACAAAGGAAATCAGTGTTTTGCTTGGTTTCAGCATGACACTAGATGATAGTGCTGTAATACTTTGATATTAGCCTCCATCTGGCCTAAGAGCATCCAGGACATTTCAGCCAAATTCCTGGTTGCCAATTATGTTGCAGTAGCACAATGCATAAAATCATGCAAATACAGGTCAAGAGCTTCAGTTAATGTTCATCTCATAATCATAATGATCTTTGTGACTTTAACCATGGCATGCTTGTTGGTGCCAGAAGGCTGGTTTGAGTATTCACACACAGGTTTTTCCACACACAAGAGTATCTAGAGTTCACACAAAATGGTGTGGAAAAAAACAAAAACAAAAAACAAACATTGAACGAGAGACAATTTTATTGGTAGAAATGCCTTGTTGATAAGAGAGGTCAGAGAAAGTGAGTGTAAATGATCATGTAACATTTAATTTAAATGATAACTCGAGATCACAGTACACTGTACATGTCCCAGGATATGTTAGGCAAAAACCTGGTTGCCTCTGGCAGGAGGTTAAGATGTACAGAATATGTACATTGATTATGCATACATGCACATCAGTATTAATCGGAATTTGGCAATAGTCTAATTAGTCATGTGAATGCAGCAATCCGACTGCCCCATTCAGATTAAGGCATTATTCTGATTATCCAAATTCTGATTCCCACCCCGTAGTCATAGATAGCACTTTAACAAGATGATGAGAAACAGAGCCCGAATCGTAGTGAGAACCTGTGGTATGAATTGAAGTCTACATGTACAACAAATGGGGGTCACAGTGGCTTAGTAGTTAGCGCGGTTGCCTCATGTCTCTGGGGTTGGGGGTTTGAATACTGCCTCCCCTTCTGGGGGTTTCCTCCAGGTACACCAGTCTTCCCCCACATTCAAAAGACATGCACTGTAGGCTGATTGGCATTTCCGACATTGTTCGTAGTGTGTGAATGTACAGTGCCCTCCACTAATATTGGTACCCTTGGTAAATATGAGCAAAAAATTGTGTTTCTTGTTGAACCTTTTTATATTTTGTTCAAAAAAATTCACAAACGTGATATCAAACAATTGTAAACAAAACACAGGCTCATCAAAAAAATATAACGTACATCAAAATCAACACAAAAAAGATTTACTGACCACAAAATCAAGGTCAAAATCATCCCAGTCCCCTGACTTGAAACCCATAAAAAACCTGTGAGATGAACTGAAGAGGAGAGTCCACCAGTGTGGACCTCAAAGGATCTGGAGAGATTCTGTATAGAGGAATGGTCTCAGATCCCTTGCCATGTATTCTCCAACCTCATCAGACATTATAGGAGAAGACTCAGAGCCGCTATCTTGTTATCATAGGCGGGTTGACTAAAAGGGTGCCAATAATTGTTGAACACAAAGATATTTGTTTAATAAACCTGTTTTGTTTGCAATTGTTAGATATCCATGAGAGCAGAGTATTTTTGTGCATTTATTTAACAAAAGATCAAAAGGTTCAACAATAAAGACAATTTTTCCACATGTTTGCGAAGGGTGTCAATATTAGTGGAGGACACTGTATGTGCAATTGTGAAAATGGATGGATGGATGTACAACAAATTTTAAAAAGAATTTAAAGGAGCTTGAAATATTCTACATGGAGAAGTGAACCAAGGTCCTTCTCCAAGTGTCTACAACCTCGTTACAAGTGCAGTAAGCAATGTTTTCTAAACAGATTGTCATTAAGGTTGCCAATAATTCTGCAGGGCCACCAAGAGTAACTGTTCTCCCAAAGAAATTCTAAACATGCGTTGCTTTTCACTCTGTATTGATTTACCTTTGTACTGGCCCTCCAGTGTCGGTGCCGAAATGTTCCGTCTCAGGTTCACATGGTTCTCCTGGGTTCCGGCTCTCCGTTCAGAGTCGGTAGGTGATGTCTCAGTGAGCGGCAGGCTGAGTTGCCCGCGCAGTTCCTTGTTCTCCGTCTCCAGCTTCCTGATATCATCCTGCAGCTGCTGGATGACGCGCGCGAGGCCGTGGCCGCTTTCCATGATGTCCTCGCGCTGTCGTTAACCCTTCTGTTTTCTTTCTTTGTGCTTTCTTTTCACCGCACCGCTGCGTCCATTTCACTCATCCCTTATTGTGGTCCCTCTCGTTTTGTCCGTTCAAATCTCGGCCGTGATCTTGTACCGGAGAGATTATGTCGCCTTTCACCGCTTGTACAGCTCAGAGGCTTCGGGTGATTGGCCTTCTGGGACTCGGGGCCATGTTTTATTCATGGCATGTATAAAGTTTCTGGGCTTTTTTTTTTTTTTTTTTTGCTTTGTTTGTTTTGTGGAACATCACAGGGATGTGAAATTGTCACCTAAAGCACGTGGGGATTAACAGAAGGATGCGTGGAGTTTCATTACGCTACTTTCCTGCACATCAGAAGAGGAAGACGTGTGAAATTTCCACCAGGTTTTCATTTCAGATAAAACACGGCGATAAACCGAGTGCGGTAACCGATGCGCAGTTCTCGGGGCCCTGAAATATTCATCGGGTCTGTCAGTGTAAAGCAAGCAGCAATAAATATAAGGCGAAAATAAAGTTTAAAAACAAACAAAACCCCCCCCCAAAAATGCAAACCGTATCAGA